CCTAAACCCTAAACTCCAAACCCTGAATTCTGAACTCTAAACCCTGAATCCTAAACCCTAAATCCTAGACCCTAAGCCGCAGAGATGCTCCAGCCGCATCTACACACTACCCCGTAGTCCCAAGGTATCCTAAGCCCGGAGGGCCCAAGGACTGAAAATATGGAAGTGGTTTGGAGTTTGGGGTTTAGGGTTTAGGATTTAGGGTTCAGGATTTAGGGTTTAGGATTTAGGGTTTAGGGTTGAGGATTTATGGTTTAAGGTTCATACTCTCCATGGGGGGCTTTAGGGCTTAGGGTTTTGGGTACCTAGACCCATCATACATGAGCTCTGGACCCTTACAGCAGGATATCCACGATATTCAAGAGATCCGGAGGATGGAATTTCAAGACTCTGCGTAGGCGCGCCGGTCCCCATGTAAATCCGAAGACGCCGCCCTGTGCCTGAATGCTAAGTAAACCCTAAGGGCCCAAGTACTCAATATTCATATACTTGCGCAAAACCTGTACTATTACTTTAAGTACTATTGCACAAAACCCAAGTACCTAAATATTGAGTACATGGACCGTACCCTCTGGGAAACCTTAAGCCCCAGACCCAAAACTTGGGAACTTCATCATCTCGTACCCCACACCCGGTATAAGGTTTAGGGTTTAGGGCTCAGGGGGTCAAAAAGCTGCTAAGCGTGACAAATTGAACCTTCTGGCGTTCAATCTTACTGGGGGTCAGTAGGGAATAAAAAAGAAGATATTATATTAGGATTCTATTCCCTTACTCCTTACAAACACGCAGTAAGTGATGCCCTTCAACGCTGCAGATAAACTCTGACAAAAACCTGCGAGAAGTGCGCGAAAGATGCCAGCTTCCCCAGCAACCCCTTAAAAAATTCGGGTTTAGGGTTCCCCAGTAATCCCCAAAATAGGGTACCCCTCGTCCTGATGTTCAGCTGTAATGAGGTGACCCCCCCCAAAAAAAAGGAAAAAGTGTATTACTGGGGACTGAAGATGAAAGATGCCAAGGTACTGCTTGTGCCTCCCACCTGCATGATGCCAGGCGAATTTGGGTTTGTGTCTTAGGTAGGGTTTAAAGGTTCCCTGGAAGCCTATAAGTCTATAAATAATGATTGGATTGGGCCCCAGAGTCTGTATAACATGGAACTCCATGTAGGCCCCTAAATTCCAAACCCTAACCCCTAAATCCGAAACGCTAAACCCCTTTTGTAAAGAGGCGGCCCTTTTTTTCAGACTCTTCATGCCCTGCCATGATAATTTGGGAATGACTCTGCGCAACAAAGCTGTATTAATCCGCATGTTTGGCTTTTTCAAACTTACAGGGAGTTAGTAGGGAATAAGGGAATATGATCCCTCTGTAATCCCCATATAATATCTTCAATTCTGCCCTACAGGCCAACTGTGTAGACCGCTGTGGAGCTACTCTCCATTCTGATCCTACTCAACCCTCTACCCAGCACTCTACACTCTGAAGGCTCGAAACCCTGTGCGCATGATGATGATGAAGCAATCGCCAAGCCACCTTGAAAAGTCTTTACCTGAACCCCCCAAAAATTGTGGAATTCATGGCCGGTTGGGCTAATATTGGGTGTTCTAGGCTATCATTTTACTTACTTGTGGGGTTGAGGTGGACCTACTAGTTCTTGGTAGGGAATAACGCGGTATAACCCTTGTATAATCCCTGCCTGGAAAACCTAGTTGCAGGTCATTTTGGGCAAAGGACGAAAAGTGTAGGTTTCAAGTGCAACTTTCCAAAAGTTGCAAGTTTTCTGTTGTCCAAAACTGCCAGGATGATTATGAAACCTTCCTATCTATCATTCATACCACTTTTAAGGCCTATCCCATCCTGATACCCATGCAGCTTACCGAAAGCCTGCTTTGAAATCTAGCACTATTTCTTCACCAGTGCTCTCTCAGATTAAGCAGACACCGCTGCACAGTGTGCAAATGCACTAATTTGAAAGATCCATGGACTGACAGCCCACAGACCTTGCCAACAAAATCTTCATCTTGCTGGCAGCAAGAAGCCAACGGATTAAGAGCCCACATATTGTGGGCTTGCCGTGCTAAAGCATGCCCAAAATGGGCAAATGCATGATATTTCGGAGAAATTTTGAACCTCAACAGCTGGGACCTGTAGGCCCACGCAGCTGCCTCGAGATACGCCTCACAAAACGTATTCACAAGCCCCAAAGCAGCTTGGGCTTCGCACTTTGAAAGCCACAGGCCTCCATGGTACAACAGTTTCAACAATTCGTTGCCTGACCCAATGGCAACCTCAATGGCCCTGGTATAGGGTGTTGATCCTTCCTCATTGATGCATCGGAACACTGCTTGCAACCACAACATAATGGTCGTCGTATCCGCTCCGTTGAACCAAGTCCTCATCATTAAATTGAGATCTTATGAGCCACATTCCACCCTACAGGCCATGAACAAAAACAACTTAAGAAAACCACCAACAATCAAACATGCCACACAACTCATAGCTGAGGAACCCACATGGAAATTCTTGTTCGGTCGGATAGTGCAGCAAAGTCTTCGTAAATGCAGATAGGTGCAACTGCAACTTGTTGCGCTTGGCAAAACCATTCAAGCGGTCAAGCAATGTCTCCAACCGTTTCTCCTTGTCACGCGTGCCCGCGAAGCCCAGATCCATCAGCACAACCTTGGATAATTGACTTGCAGCACACAGAACCAAAACACAAGCATGCATGACTGTATACAGAAATTGAAAGCATTACATTTCACCAGGCAACCACCGCCGACCCTGCAAGTTCAGCGAAAATTCCTTTGTGCATCACATGAAAGGGGTCATAGTGACACAGTAGTTCCAATTGCGGAGACTGCCGCAATCTCCAGAATGGACTAGGGTCACTCTCCTGAAATGGTGGCTCTTTCAGGTAGGTTGATACCCATTTGGCATCCTCACCGTACTCTCCATAAGAAATGCCAGGGTATCCGGCAAGGCATAGGTGGCAAATGCCTTTGCACTCATTGCGGTTGCCATTTTTTCCTCGCCCACGCTTCGTCAGCCGGTTGAAGCTTCGCGTTAGGTGTCCCAGACGCAGCAATATCGGCCAATCTCCTTTGACCGCTATAACGCACAATCTGATTTGGACACGACGCCCGTCAAGGTTAACAGCTACGCCTGTATCAAACATGGCATTGCAATCGTCAACAATGTACGCTGCAAAGCTGTCCAAAACATGCTGTTTCTTCTTGTGGTAGCAAGATTTTTTCCCCAGGACGCCAACGAGAACACGTGTTTTGTAGCAACTTCCTTGAAAATTCAATCCCATGGCATTCGCATCCTTGCGCGAGCTTTGACTTGCCAGAGTGCCTCGTCCCAGAACCGGCTGAACAGCAAACACCATCAGGGCTTGCTTCTTCAAAGTTTGGCCCTCGTCTGCATACAACATGCCATGCAGCGTGTGCTTCAATTCTTCTTTGGAAAATTTGAATACTGGATGTTGTGGTTCAATATGGCTGTACCGCGACCAGAACTCCTCAACAACATCGAAAGTTGAGGAACCACCCATGAGTAGATCTATCTTTCCTTCCTTGGCAAAGACACGCAGATAGCCACTGGGCCTCAACCACGGATGTTTTCCCAAGCCACTTACAGAAGCATAAGACAGTGGAACTGGAGCTGCCAAAGCTAAATCAGCGTAGAGCTTCGTGTTCTGGTTTTCATGACGGGTACGGGAAGCCTTGTGCATCTTCTTCAACAAAACGGAGTTGGGCAGAGACGTCTCATTCGCATCCTTCAAACCAATGGCCTTCAACTCTTTGCAGAATCCACTTGCAATCTCACAAGCCAGCCGATGGGAAACCTTAATTCCAATACTAAATTGGTCCAAAACACACTAACTGATAAATCTGAAACATATGTTTAAAAGCATTCTGCTGTAGCACTGCCACTCCTTGAGCACTAGCCTTAGCCAGTGCAAGTGCTGCAGGCCCATGACCTGCGTGCAGCGAAATTGCACAATGAATGTTACAAGTCTGCGTGCGCCCACATGGTAAGTGCCAGCGCACATCATTTTTACTCAGGCCCGTTCGGAGTCTGCATCGAACAGGATCATGTACCCCCACATCTACGGAAATGTTGCCCGGCAAGTCCGAAAACAACTTGCCATCGACCCATTAAAGCAAAGCAGTTATCACCACTTTGCAGCTCAAGCTAGGTGAATGCCACTCCATGGCATCAGGCAGCCTCTTCAAATCAGGAGTCCTGAGCCTTCCATTTGGCCTTGGCCTTGCCTGTTGGCTTGGCCTTTGGCTTGTTAGCGCAGGGTTCTGCCCCGAAGCAGTGGCTGCAGGTGCCTCTTTGCGCAGGACGGTCCTGACAGCTTAAATCACAGAATCCCAAACTTTAAAGGTTTAAATCGAGCACTCAGACTGGCTGGGATGCTTACTTGCGCAACTTGGTCTCCACCATGACAGCTTTGCTGCACCTTATGGCGCCAGCGTATGAGCATTGCCACACCACACCCTAAATCATGAGGGACCCACAAGACTTCAACCTTCGTATTCTTCTCCGCAAGCTGCGCGCACTGCAAACGCTAGCAGGCAACATGCATGCAAAGACAACTCGGCAACTACACACAACGCTAAATTTAAGATCAAGCAACTCTTTGGTGAGCTTCTTGCAAGCAGTGGAGACACACTTCAGCTCCGCAATCTCATCATGAAGCAGCATCATGTCGCCCACCATCCCGTCAAGCTGGTCAGCATTCCTTACGTGATCGAATGATCAAATGTCATGTAACAAAAACAGAACCCCCAACAGCTCAAACAAGCGTCTTAGTGGCTTCGTCACTCTGCTTGTCCCGAAGCAGGGGTGACAGGTTCTGCAACTTCGTGACTGTCTTGAACAGCTGGGAGAGGATGACAGGGATATTCTCGATATCCTTCATACAGTCACAGTTTAAAAGGAAATCGTGAACTCGCACATTATGTATGCATGCATAACAAACACACACGTGATCAATCCTGCAAAGCAGACTCCAACTCCGCGGACGAGTGCTTCCGCGAAGGCTTCTTCTTGGATGGGCGGCGCTCAGCAGTGCTGGGGGTAGTGGAGAGGGAGGAGCGCCTGTCAGTGCGCTTCTTCTTCTTGCTCTTCCTGGGCTGCGGGGTCTCACCTTCTGAGCCCGCCATTGGCTCCGGGGCATCCGCAGGGAGGTCACCAAGAAAGTCTGCGGGCGCATCATCACACTCGTACTCCACTTGCGCCTGCTCTTCCTTGCTTCTCTCAAACTTGGCATCGGTGGAAACTTCCACCCAGTAAAGCTTCTTGGTCTGCGCATACTTGTCTCGCCTGGCATAAGGCAAGCATTAAAAAATCTCCACGCAGGCAACCCACAAAAAAACGCTAGTAACTTACACTGACCTTCTTAAGACCCTATATACCAACCATAACCCTATTACACAGATGCATGCTCAGAAAAGTGTTATTACACCATGGCACTTGCAGTACTTCTTGCCGGCTTTCTGACACCACTGCACAACAGCTTCGATGCGTGCCCTCAGCTTTTACCCATGACCCATTGAAAGCATACAGTCATGATTGTTGATAACGCATTTATAAGACCAGGCTCGGACTCCATCCAAGTTCGCTTTTCATGCGCTCTTCCGTGTACCACCCCGCTGTGATAGCAATCGTGCCGCGCTTGATTTCGCGGATCATGAACACAGCTCTTCGCTGGAACTTGGCCTTTTGCAGGCATCGGGCCAAATCCATCAACTCAGCACTCGAACAAAGATTAGGGTACAGGCCGTGTCACCATCACAGTCCGCAAGCATGCTTACCAACATCTTCCGGGTCTCACCACCCTCCTTCCATTTGGCAATGATGTCGGCGTGGAGCTTGGAACTTTTGGTCGCAACTTTGGGGTTGCACATCCGCCGCAACTTCGCATCGAACTTTGCAACCACATTGGCAGGCAAATGGGCAAGTCTCGCTAGGAGATCCACCTGCAAAACCCATCTGTGCATGCGTGCATATGAGCTGTTAACTTACGGGCTACCTAAACTAATCCATATGGGCCTTGCGGTCAGCCTTCTTCGATGGCACAGGGCTCCGAGCCACTGCAGCAGGTTCATGTGAGGATGATGCACCAGGGCTTGAAATTTCTTCATCACCATCTTTGCTTTCGCGCGGGAACTGCAGGCACAACAAACGCAGCATATGAATGCGTGGACTTCCTCTCAACATGTAAGACTGACATTCACATTAAGTTATAGTGTGTTGCCAGGCATCTAGCAACAGACTGACCATCACGCTTCGGGGTCGCAGTGCCGGGGCGGGATGGATTTCCAGCTGGGGACGCGCTTTGCTCAGCATTCGGATTAATGCATGGCAAACCATGCAGAAGCTTCATCAAACTCTCGTCCTCCATGCCATCCTTGGTGCATTGCAGTCATTATTGGCAGCTTGCAGTCCAAGACAGCATGCACTAAATTACACACAAGGATCAGAGCTGCCCGGACTCACTTGCACATCCGAAAGGTCCCCATAGCCATCATCTTGAAGAGCACCCCCATAGCCATCATCTTGAAGAGCACCCTCATAGCCATCATCTTGAAGGGCACCTCCACAGCCATCATCTTGAATGGCACCACAACCATCCTTACAAGCTTGCTCCTGAAGCACTTCTTCGCTGGAAGAATGCTGGAAAGGAGGTTGGGCATCTTCCGACCAGGCACGCAGGAGTCCACTGTCTTGCTTCTCTGGGGCCGGCAAATCTTGTTGGGTCTCAGGGAAGTCACTCACAGACGCCCCAACAGCGTCTGCAATAGGGTCATTCCCACTGAGGGCATCTGCCCCATCATCACTCCCGCCAGGAAGTGAGTCATCATCCCTTTGCCGGCGTAGCTCCAAGAGAGCTTCATATCGAGATTTGGCTTCCTCACGCAGAAAACAATATGGTAACTTCATGCTGATCAATGAAATGCTTGCATGCATGCACATGTCACATCCAAAGCACTGCAAGCTTGGCTTGCACATTCTCAACCATGTCTTCCGCGGACTCTTGCTTGATGCGTTGGTTCTCCATGGCTTCCACGCCAGCCATGAGGGAGGCGCAGCTCCAAGTATTGGAGATCAAGCGGGGCGCAGGTTTTGGGGCCATTGACCTACGCTTTAAAGCTAAAATGCCTGCAGCACCACAACAGCTTCCAAAAGCACCGACTAGAACCCTTGCAAAAATGGTGGATTTTTTTTACGCAACTTTACGCTTTATGGACGCACCTTTACGCTTTTTCTACGCAACTTTACGTTTGCGGATTTTCGCCCAAAACGTCCCAAAATGCTCAAAAACTGGATGAAATTAACTGAAAATGCGAAAAAGCAACATGAAACCATCGCAACCAGAAGCAATCCAAAGCTGAATGCAGCATTTCTTTGCTTCACGGGACACGAAACCATAAGTTGAAGTGCGCCCAGGCGGTGACACCCTCAAAATCAGGGCTCCTCTTGAAGCCCTGCCTCAATTTTTGTCTTGAGGCTGTCCGGAAGCCTTTCAAAAAGGTTGGTGGACCCATACAAGTATCGAATTACATCAGGCATTCGAGCATCCTGCCACAAATCTTCATAGTCCAGCTGGTTTAGGAAGCTTGCGTCAATCAAACCACCAGGCACCTGCAAAACATCGGGGGAAAAGGGTGTATAGGGAAGGTCTACAGAGCAAAGTTGTTTGTAATCATTGCACGGGTGCGTGGTTGAGCACGGGATGGGCCAAGGCAATAGCGGGAAAGGATTTGAGATTGAATGTGGTTATTGCAGAATTGGGGGGCGGAACAGCTCTCAGGGACAAAATAGGGAACGGAATGGGACAGAATTTGTTACACCATGCCCTTATATATATGCCCCATGCATACATGCAGGAATTAAGTTGCTGTTGAAAAACCCTTGCACCTTCCTTGGCAATCCATGGCGGGGATGGTAGTTGTCCTCACGCAGCTTGTCAAAGAAGCGCAAGTAGCGGAGGGCAAACCCCAGCGGGTATTGCCTGGGATGGTGCAAAATTTCAAGCAGCAGCCCTGCACGCAACACAAACAGCTCCATGATCGATGACATATTCCAACCCAGGCACTCTGATGCTCGTAGATGCTTTGTTCCAGTCCATCCTTTTTTGCCTCCACCCTTCTTTTGGTTGCGGCACTCCGGCCAGCTTGCGGCACACGCGTCCACTTCGGCGGACCTCTTTCATGGACAGCTTCCCTGTGGAAAAGTAGGCCACACTTGGGGTATTTCCCCAAATCGTAGTTTTCTTGGGCGAACTGGCTCCCATCTTCCACATCCAAAAGGACTTTTTGTATACCTCAGGTTCTGCAGTCAAAAAGGAAACCTGAATTAAGCCATTTAACATGAGAATAGGCATGCAACATTAATGGGCACTGAGCTGCAAAGTCCTTTCGCACCAACTCCTTGAATCGCCGGCGCAGCTTCAGCAATGAACTTGATGGTTGTTCCAGCGTCCATGTCCCCTGCAAGGACATAATCATGTAGACCAAGATCAGGAACCTGCACAGGCAAAAGTTGCTGAACTCCTGCAAAGAAAGCCGCCCAAATGCCTCGAAATCATCAAATTCCCATTCTGCACACACTTGACCGAGGGATCACCCATCGGCGCAAGGATGCATCGCCGGGTCGTCCCAGAACTTGTCCTGACCCAGGAAGCACACTGTAGTCCAAAATGGACCACTGGCGCATCTTTGCACTTGAGCAGGACCACAAGCAAAAGCCTGCATTGGGCACAACACTTTTCGAAAAGCAGATTACATCAAATTTGTTAACAATTTTCAGTTGACAGATTAGTCCAAGCTAAGCAGCGCCATCCCACTGTCCGTAAGCATGTCGAGCGGGTTGTTGATTTCACGAGGGAGGCGCCCAAGGGCTGCTTTCCAGGAACTCCAGTACTTCACGTCCAGGGACTCCACATTGAAACCAGCATGGCCCATCACGCGTGAGAGGCGGCCAAAACCGGCACAGACTTCCACAAAATCATGAACCTATGCACACACACGCACACGCACACACACACACACACAAACACGCGTACTCACCAAAACCATGCCAACTCCCAGCCCAGCCTGGTCAAAGCTGAAGCCCCACGTATTCATAAGCAAGAAAACAGCCACAAGCAGGACCTCAGCTAGTAGCATTTATTCATGGGCCTGTCTTATTTGCTGCCCTTCAATGCTCAGCAGTCAGACAACACATTTTGGCAAGGGGCAGCGGGGGCTCCAACATTCAGCAAACGTCGTAAAACAGATTGCTGCCGATGAAAGTCCATGGCGTGCACGCTATATGGATGGCTTCGGTAGCACTTATACAAAGACTTGCAAAACACTTGAGATGTTACAGCATCATGCAGATACTGGCATGGCAAAAACCTGCGATCAACAGCATGGCAGCAATGACAGTTCTGCATGCGAGAATCCTGGCAAAGCATGCGGGGCTTGAGCACCTGGTCTCACCTGCTTCGTCTTCTGGACTGAGAGGCGAGGTTTGAAAGCATATGAAATTGACCTGGGCGGAAATCAAGACTGCAGGCATCCAACTCATGCACTCCTGTGCTTCATGATTTGCGCGCACTGTCTCAGATCAGCAGGACGCAAACTCCCTCTGAGAATCAGCTCTCCCATTCTGCATGATTCGGAACACGAACGCAACCAGTGTGCCACAATAGCTGCAACATGTTGCCAGGTTTTATAGGCATATGGCCTGACTATGTCAACATTGCAGCACAAGGTTGCTCTTTCACCTCTATCCATCATATAATCTTTAAACTAGCCACGCCTTGGTCGCCAGGAGTCCGTGGCTGCTGCGGCACGGCAGCATGGACACGCCCGCGGCCTCCCGGTAGTAGGATGGCACGGGGCAGGCCACGTGACTGGTCTCGAAGCGCTCGACGAGCCACTGGTAGGCCTCGCGCTTCCTCTCGCCGTTTGAGGTGGCGCCAGAGATCGCAGCGGCCGGCTGCTCGCCCAGGACGTTGACGTGCGGGGAGCCCCAGATCACGAGGCTGGGGGCGAGGCCCTCGCAGACGGCCGGCACCAGGCCGCGGCCCAAGGCGGCATCCACTCCAGGAACCAAGTTGCAACTTGTAGCCATTCACAGGTTGTTAACATTCATGAATGACCTTAAATAGGGGACCCCAATATAGGGTTTGGGGTTTAGGGCTTCTAGGGCTTAGGGTTCAGGGTTTAGGGTTCAGTGTTTAGGGTTCAGGGTTCACAGTTTAGGGTTCAGGGTTAAGTGACCCCAAAATACTACAGTCCTTATTATTAGGACCCCAAAAGTGGTACCCCTAA